TTTTGTCTTTAGTCAAAAATGGCGCCGTTGATAAAAACAGTGCAAATATCTACAAAGGAATTACAAGATACAGACGTAATAACTAAATGTGCACCTAGGATATATAACATAGTATATCTTAGAGTTTTACAATATACTGTTTTACATATATTTGCCGCGTACGGACTATATCTTGGGATAACAGCGGCTAAATGGAAGACAATCATATCATGTAAGTATTAGTACAATGACTGTAATAGAGTAAAAATTAACCAGTGATGAAAGTTACCATAGACAAAATTATTTACGTGATTGTTATAACCCGACGGGTAATATTTGTAATCGGGGAATCTGAGGGTTTTCTACTTTAAAAACAAGTCGTTCGATCGTATTTTACACGTTGAGCCGACGACGCGGAATAATCCAATAGGTCCTAGCTTTATAATCTGTATGAAAAATTTAAGTCAGTTGTACACCGCTAACCATCAGTTTCTTAGACCAAAAACCACGTCTAAATGACAAGGATGCAGATATGTTTTATACAGGGATTTTAGTTTCAAAAACCTACGGTAAATAATTTTAATTATTACCCAGTCATTTAGTTACTAACTGCTACCTAATTAGTAATTTGTAAGAGGCGTGTTTTGTCTTGTTGCAAGAGACAAGACAATTTTTGTAAATGGAACACCGCAAATTTCCGCGACTGTACTAGTAACCTATAGCATAAGTGAACCCGATTTTGACGTAAGAGGAGTCATACTATTCTTATTGTTCCACTGACGTCACATTCAGTGTGTTTTTTTTGTTTTTTAACGTCTATCCAGCTATTTAACCTTTTTTTCTTCCAGTTTGTATATTCTTAATAGCCAGTGTCGTGGGTATAACTGTGGCGGCACATCGATTGTGGTCGCACAAGGCTTTCAAGGCGACTATGCCGCTACAAATTGTACTAATGCTGTTCAACTCAATAGCTTTCCAAAGCACAGCTATTGATTGGATACGAGATCACAGACTTCATCATAAGTGAGTAAATCTTACTAATATTATAAATGCGAAAGTTTAGATGGATGGATGTTAGGTCATCATCATCAGCTCACTATACGTCCCCACCGAGGGGCTCGGAGCCGACCCTAAGTTAAGGGTGATCAGGCCATAGTCAACAACGCTGGCCAAGTGCGGGTTGACTTGACACATATCTTTGAATTTCTTCACAGATATGTGCAGCATCATGTTTTTCTTTACCGTAAGAACGTCGGATAAATGTACATAAGTAAATCGGAAATGGAAAAACACATTGGTACATGGCGGGATTCGAACCCAGGACCTGCAGATTGCAAGTCAAGTGCTTGACCCCTGAACCACCGACGCTCCTTTTTTTCGCTTTATCAAATCTATATTTAGAAGCAATTTAGTCAGAAATATCTTGGTGATAAGTTGTATAGAAAAAAAACTTTAAAACAATAAAAATATTGCATGCAGATTGCATGTCAAGTGCTTGACCCCTGAACCACCGATGCTCTTATGCCATTGTTAGGTATCTCGACCAATTTCGTTAAAGCGTTCCGGTGATACCTCCCCTCCATCTATCCATCTAAACTTTCGCATTTATAATATTAATAAGAAGTAAGATTAGATATATACTTACCAATATACTAAGATATATGTACAAAACTACGACCACTTGTATAGAAAAAGCGCGAAATGTATATCCTATCATGCCAAATAACTAACTTTGTCTTCTGTCTAGAACAAAAAGCTGATCAATAAAATGAATTGTTACAACGTACAAAATGAATAAAGGCAATAAATACGAAATCAGACATTTTATGGTCCTTCAAGCAGGACAAATTTTCAAATAACCTAAATATTCCTTAGGCACAGTGATACAGACGCGGACCCTTACAACGCATCTCGCGGATTCTTCTTCTCGCATATTGGCTGGTTGCTGGTGAGGAAGCACCCACTGGTACTGAAGAAGGGGAAGACTGTCGACATGAGCGACATCTACAACAATCCAGTGCTTAAGTTCCAACAAAAGTAAGCATCATAGTAACAGTATTTTATAAGCTCATAGGTGTGCTAATTTAATGTCACTTTGACATCTATTAATTTTAGCTAATGACGTGACTTCTAACATCATCATCATCACCTTACTATACGTCCCCACTGAGTGTTTCGGAGTCTACCCCAAGTTATATAACTAGGTGATACTAGGTGAATGCTGGTCCAGTGCGTCACTTCACACATATCTTTGACATTCACAGATATGTGCTGCATCAACATGTTTTCCTTCACACTAACAACATAGGATAAATATGTGAATCCCAGATTAAACCCTAAGCTACCGACGCTCTACAATCGTATTCGCAGTATCAATCTAAACTGCTGTTGAGTTTGAATATCACTATACTAAAGCTATTTTATTAATTCCAGACACGCTGTCATTGTCATCGGATTATGCTGTTACGTCGTCCCGACCATTATTCCTATATATTTCTGGAACGAGACATTCTCCAATGCCTTCTATATTAATACCCTTCGTCACGTCATTGGTCTACATTTAGCATTTAGTGTGAATAGTTTCGCCCACTTATGGGGTACTAAACCGTACGACAAATCTATATTACCTGTACAATCTTTATTTGTTTCCTTAATATCGGGTGGTGAAGGTTTCCATAACTACCATCATGTGTTTCCATGTGATTATAGGACTGCAGAGATAGGAAATAATTGGTTGAATCCTTCCACTTTATTTATAGATGTATTGGCAAAATTCGGTTTGGTTTACGATTTGAAATCAACACCGGAAAACGTCATAAATAACAGAATAATTCGTACTGGAGATGGAAGTAATGTTTGGGGGATTAGTTAAGGTTATTGTAGAGAAGTTGCCTATATATATAAATAAAATTTGAGTGTCTGTTTGTATTATTGAAGTAATCGTCTTTTACTAAATGTATTATATATATTTAAATATACGGTAAATACACCAAAATAATTTCTATTACAATTTTTGTCTGTTTGTTTGTTCCGGCTAATCATTGTAATGGCTAGACCGATTTCGACGGGAAGTTTATTGGCAGGTAGCTTATGTTATAAGGAGTAACTTAGGCTAAGTTTATTTAAGAAACCTTTAAGTTATAACTTAAAGTGCTTTCGATATAAATATCTTTGTTAATTATTTGTCAAGATCCCATATCGAGATAGTATAATCTTACTAAAACCTTACTAACATTATAAATGCGAATGTTTGGATCGATTGATGTTTATTAGAAGGTATCTCCAGAACTGGATGGATCTCGCTGAAATTTGGCACACATGTAGAACATAGACTGGAAGAACACATAGGCTACTCATTTAGATTTTTTTTACAATTTCGCGCTGAGTCTGGGGCGACAACCAGTATTTCAAGAATCGTGACTATTGGTTAAGTATAAGTGTAGATGGGTACAATGGTAAAGGTAGGCTTAGAAGGAGATAGGTTGTGTGAAAGGTGAAGAAGGGGGTGACGACGGAGATGACAGTAGATAAATTGATTTTGTGTATGGAAACTTGGTGCATAACCACATAAGTGGGACAAGGTGAAGAAGGTGATGACTTCTGGTGATGTCTAATATAAGCTTACGATAAAAGGGTTGACATATATATACTTCCTCCGTCCAGGTGGACTAACGACATAGTTCGCACGGCGGAGGTCCGAGTACTATGGAAGGCATTGGATAAAGCCTATACTTAGCAGTGGGCAGATAAAGGCTGTTGATGGTGATGACGATAATGATGATGATGATATATTTAATGTAAAATAGTACAACATTAGGAATGAAATGATTATTTAATCACAAAGTTTTTAATTAAACACATCGAATTAAGAAACCTTGAGAAGTTGAAAAATGCATTAAATGCGTAAAATGAAACTGTATCGCAAATTAAAAAAAAATATATTTAAAAATTATTATTTAGTAGCCGTGAATTAGCATATTAAATATATATTCAAATGATATGGAAATTTCCGAGTTTTTTTTTTATTACATACGCAATTATAATTAAGCCACGACTTCATCTATTGGATATAATTTGTTACCTATCAAATAAAAACTACGATAATTTACAATTGGTCTAGTCGTCTAATAATAGGAGAGGCGAAGCGGGGACTTTTGGATTAGAAGGAGCGTTTTATTTATGGAAGATGCTTAAGTTTTACTATCATCGCGGTCGAGTGAATCCAAAAATCCCCGCTTCGCCTCTCCTGTTATAAAGTTCTTTGTGCACGAGGTGACGTAAATCTTCGTAACATTTGTATGCAAAGTTGCATATAACTTATTTAGATATAGACTATCTATACATATAAATAAAATTGGAGTGTCTGTTTGTTATATTAAAATAACCGTCTCTAACATTTATATGAATATATTTACGGTACATATACCCGGCCGCGGACGGGTCGACGCAGCGTAGGTAGGCCTCCCGCACGATGGACCAATGTCCTGGTCAAGGTTGCGGGAGTGCACTGGATGCGGGCGGCACAGAACCGGACATTATGGCTATCGATGGGGGAGGCCTACATCCAGCAGTGGATAAATCTAGGTTCATTATGATGACGATACCAAAACAACATTTTTTGTCTGTTTGTTTGTTCCGGTTAATGTTTGTAATGACTTGACCGATATTGACACGTAGCTGATGTAATAAGGGGTAACTTAGGCTACTTTTTTTTTAAATTATGAGTAGATTTTTGTTAATTTACTAATATTTCTTGTACCATTCCAACTAAACTCTACGCTTGTGCTAGGATATGGTTTTCGGAAATCCGTACCCTAATCCATTAGGCTATTAGCGCTTCTAGATGCTATTGGCATTTATTTTTAAGAAATAAGACATGAACAATATTTCACTCGAACGAAGACGCGGGCACAGCTAGTAGAGCAAATAATCATTGTCTGGTATAGGTCAAAGAGTAACTAGACACAAACTTTGAACCTTTTCATATTTAATTCATATATTTACTGCGATTACGGGACTTTTAATTTATTTTAGTCTCATATAATAATAGATAAATATTAATGCGTCAGTGGCTCAGGGGTTAAGCAATTGACTTTTAATCTACAGGTTCAAATCCCGCCGTATACTATTGTTTGTCAATTGTCCATTTACATAATATTAGCCGTCGCCCGCGACTCCGTCCGCGACTGATTCAAAATAGATGTTGGCTGATTGTCAGACCTACTCAATATGCTCACAAAATTTCATGAGAATCGGTCAAGCCGTTTCGGAGGAGTATGGGAACGAAAATTGTAACACGAGAATTTTATATTTAAGATGTACATATATGTGAAAGTCAAAGATATGTGTGAAGTGACGCACTGGACCAGAATTCACTATCACCTAGTCACATCACTTAGGATAAGCTCGGAGACTCTCAGGTTCCTAAAGTGGTTCAGGTGGATGGATCCCGTCAAATTCATTTGAGAAGCAGAAGGTTAGCGTGGTTTTGACATGATATGCGGAGAGATGTTGATGACAAAGGTAGAGGAAGACCAAAGAAAGTATGCATTGTGTGAAAGAGGATCTGCGTAAGAGGTAGATTCAGATATACCAGCTGATAGAGATGTATGGAGTACATACTATGCCGACCCTCTGTAGGGATAAGGGCAGGTTGATGATGATAATGGATCGCAAAAAAGCGTAAAAGCTTTTACTCTCTTTGCAATTAAACTTAATAACAAATTTTTCCCCGTTAAATACATTTACCTGGACATTCATGACAGACAAAAATATGACCATTTTTTCGCGCACCGTTCCATTCGCTGGTCAGTTAACGAAAAGTCAAAAAGAAAAAAAAGAATATAAAGTGGTCTTGTTATCATATATTTTAAAAGTAAGGCCTATTTCCCACTAGGCTGTTAGTCGCGCGACTTTTTTTAAAAACTGTGTTCAACTGACACGACTAACGCCTCTAGCATATAGACCGAAACTTAAAGGAGATTTGTTTTATATGATGAGGTGGCAAACGATCGAGCGGCCACCCGAAATCGCTGAAATAGCGAAGTGACCGTTGCCCATAGACATACGCAATCGCATATGGGTTGCCTACCTTTAATCGACGGAGGAGAGGATGCACAGAAAGAAAACATTTCCATGCATCCTCTCATCTGGAAAGTCCACTTCCACTTCCCATCCTTTCCTTATAAAGAAAAGGATGGGAAGGGAAAGAGGACTAAATTAGACCTCCGGGACGCACACTCATCAGACGAAACGCGGAATTGCTTCCACTTCACGCCTGTCTTCTGTGTGGTCGTGGTATTACACCGGGCGAGTCGGGCCGATTCGTGCGAAGATGTTAAAGCGGGCTCTACCACTGTTAAAAGCTTCTGAAGAAGAGTTCTTGAGTCATAGGAACCAAGAGTTCATTTAATTAGTTCTGGCTAGTAACTATGTCTACGAAACCAAAACAAAATGTTTCCATGACCTATGTACTTCAATTCGGTTTCATTGGCTTAAAAAAATATGTTGATGTTTTTGTTTTACATTTTTCTCTTTAAGTATCTGTTGTGCGTCGTCAAATCTCGCCTGCCAGATACAACGCCATAGACTCACACAAACCGTTATATTTAATCGCGCGCGCCAAAATCGCGCGACTAACGTACCAGTGGAAATAGAGAATAAATCACGGTCATTCCAAAATTAAACTTATTAAGAATGAATATCTTAACAAAGACAACAGTAGAGTTTTAATTTAGTGTACGATATCAAAAGTTAAAGGACAATTATTTCTTAAAAGGAAGTCTTCCAAAGTCTTTATAACCTCGATCACATTTGCGACAAGATAGAGTTCACGATCACCATATAACCAGCAATAAAGAGATAAAGTGGAAAGAGAAATACTACGGAAACACCAAAATATAACTTGGAAAGGAAGAATTCGATTGGAAATTGATTATTTGAGATATCTTAACACAAGTAAGAAGCCTACAAGAAACAGGTAAAGATTATCCCTGACTAACATAAGCTTTTAATCTTATTAACACGTTAGCTGCCTGAATGATTTTTAGAAAAACCAAAAAAATTAATTTTTATTTTTGTCCAAAACCATTTGAATGAGCCCTTGCGGGTCACGCTGTATACAACAATTCGATTAAAAGCCACAGCGAGGTGTTGAATGGAAGTTTGGATTGTCGAACACATAGTCCGACACGGCCCGGTTGAAACATTAGCTTGTCGGACATATAGTCCGACGTGGCAACTAACGTGTTAATATTATAAATGCGAAAGTTTAGATGGATGTTTGTTAGAACATATCTCCGGAACGACTCAACGGATCTTGATGAAATTTTTAATTTGCACAGACCGAGACACGGGCGAAAGCTAGTAATAGATGTGCGAAAGTTTAGATGGATGGATGTTTAAAGATATCTCCTGAACAGTACAACGGATCTTGATGAAATTTAGCACAGGTTTAGAACAAAGTCTAGAAGAACACATAGGCTACTTATTAAGTTTTTTAATTTGCACAGACGGTTAAGTTTTTTTAATTCCGTACTGATGGAGACGCGGGCCACAATTAGTAATATTACAAATGCGAATGTTTGGATGGATGGATGTTTATTAGAAGGCATCTCCAGAACAGCTCAACTCAATATAGAAATTACAACATAGTCTGGAAGAACACATAGGCTACTTATTTTTTTTATACCGCACAGAGTTTCGCGAATGACAGCAATTATAAAATGAACTTATTAATACTTAAATTACAATTTTCTAGGATCTCACGACACAAATGTCATTGTCACAGCCTACCGAACTAACAGAGGTGTCCGATGAAGTCACAACATGTGCTCCAAGGAAATACAAGATCGTATATACAAACATATTAAAATATACTGTACTACATGTGTTTGCATTTTACGGCCTTTACGTAACGCTGACTAAAGCTAAATGGAAAACATTGATATTCCGTAAGTTAGAAAGTTTTAATACTTGTCTTTTTTTTAATTTTTTTTTGTAACAGTCCAACTAAGCTATATGTTAGGACATGGTTTAAAATAGTCGAATGGCGAGATTCGAACTCTAGACCTCATGATCGGAATCCTGTACCCTTAACCATTAGGCTATTGTCGTGTAAATTAAGAGTGCAACATCACGCTGTTAGAAAACCAGCACACAGAAAACAGACGTGAAGGCAATTCCGTATTTCGTCTGATAACACTGTGTGCTAGAGGCCTAATTTTACTCTTATTTTCCTTCCTTTTTGTTGTAAAGAAATGATGGAAAGGGGAAGTGAATTTAGCGGCGGGACACATAGTTTAGGGAATTATCCTTTTTCTATGCGTCTCCTCCACCGTCCATTTAAAGGCAACGCATCTGCAATTGCAGATGTAATGGGCAATCACAATTTATGTGTCTTTATCTTGTTTCATAACTGTAGTGTATGGATAAATGTCGTGTTGTTTGTTTCGAGCGTACACGTCAGTACATGCCGGAGAGACTGGGTCAGTCGATGTCAGACCTTTGGACCGGTAGCACGTGTCGGTACGTGAACGAGTCAAATATAACGCAACGAATGCTACAGTAACCTTTGTAATTTTTATGGGCGGCGCTACACCGTCCTCTAGTTCCCCCTAGTCCCTGTGTCAGGGTCATGGAGTGCGGGGTGTTATTTATTTCTTTTAACCTTTATAATCTTATATCCCAACAGATTATGTAACTACCCACTTAAGCGCGTTTGGTATAACAGTTGGGGCGCATCGACTGTGGGCACATAAAGCTTTTAAAGCTACCCTACCTATGGAAGTGATTCTCATGCTGCTAAACTCTTTAGCATTCCAGAGTACCGCGTTTGAGTGGATACGAGACCACAGACTACACCATAAGTAAGTAACACTGACACACTAAATGTAAGTTTCTGAGACCTAAATCTTACTAATATTATAAATGCCAATGTTTAGATGGATGTGTCTTTGAAGGTATCTCCAGAACGGCTCAACGGATCTCGCTGAAAGTTGTCATAGATGTACAACATAGGCTACCTAAGTTTTTTTTTTAATTCTGCGCGGACGTAGTCGTGGTCAACAGTTAGTCTCTGTATAAAACACATCGTCAACCCTGTCATGATTTTTGACGAAACAGAGATTACAAACTTGTTAAAAGGGGGTTATGGTCTCAGAAAACCACGGTTACTCCAACATGCAAATTATAAATTTACACTAAGGGTGGACTATATTACTGAGTGGAACATTCCGAAATTGATCATTATTATTTTAAGGGAATCCCTTAGTGAGATTTCAACGAACTAAATCTATAGTCTAAATGTAAATCAACCACTATAGCATAAATGGTCCTTCGAGTCAGATAGATTACAAAACCTTTTTATTTAAAATATATTTTAGGTACAGCGACACAGACGCGGACCCTTACAATGCATCTCGTGGATTCTTCTTCTCGCATATTGGTTGGTTGCTGGTGAGGAAGCACCCACTGGTGCTGAAGAAGGGAAAGACTATCGACATGAGCGACATCTACAACAATCCTGTACTCAAGTTCCAACAAAAGTAAGTAGCCCAACTAACTAATGAATCTAAACCATTCCCAGATCCCCTTGAACACACACAAAAAATTTCATCAAAATCGCTCCAGTCGTTTGAGAGAAGTTCAGTGACATACACACTCACAGAACAATTATATATATAAAGATAAGGTAACACATAACTACGTGTGTTGTACATAACTAATTATTTTTTATTGCATTGTGTTATTTTTACATTATTTAAATAAAACATTCATATTTTTTATACGACTTAATTTTCTTAAATAAAAATACAGCAAAAAAACTATAATATTAATTTAATTACTAATGACGTAAAAATATAATTATTCTCTCTTTCAAACTTCACTTAACTATTTTATTATAATATTTAAGTAAAAACATAATTAACCAAAACCATGCTTTAACGAAAAAAAAAAGTCTTGACACACAGACGGACGGACAACAAAGTGATCCTGTAAAGGTTCCGTGTTTTCCTATGCGGTACGGGACCCTAAAAACTTTTTTTTTTATATCATAAGATGGCAAACGAGCGAGCGGCCACCTGAAATCGCTGAAATAGCGAAGTGATCGTTGCCCATAGACATACGCTATTGCATATGCGTTGCCTACCTTTAATCCACGGAGGAGAGGATGCACAGAAAGAAAATATCTTCCATTTCCATGCATCCTCTCATCCGGAAAGTCCACTTCCCATCCTTTCCTTATAGGGAAAAAGTGTGGGAAGGGAAAGAGGAGTAAATAAGTCCTCCGGGCCGCACACTCATCAGACTGCACGTCTTCTGTATGGTCGTGGTATATCACCGGACGAGTCGGGACTATTCCTGCGAACATGTTAAAGCTCGCTCTACCACTAAACTATAAGAATAAATAAATCATACTAATATTATAAATGCGAATGTTTAGATGGATGTTTGTTAGAATCTCCAGAACAGCTGATAGATTTCACTAGAAGGCACACATATAGAACATAGTCTGAAAGAACACATAGACTACTCATTAACTTCTCGGGTTCGGTTCTTCGGGTTGACTTGACACATATCTTTGAATTACTTCTCAGATATGTGCAACACACAGACCTACAGATTTCAAGACAAGTAACTAATCATTACAATTTCAGATACGCGATCATCGTGATTGGATTGTGCTGTTATATACTACCAACAATTATACCTATATATTTCTGGAACGAGACATTCTACAATTCGTTCCATACAAACATATTACGTCACGTGATCACGTTACACGCAACCTTCAGTGTAAACAGTATTGCTCATTTATACGGCACTAAACCATACGATAACAACATAAAGGCTGTTCAATCTTTAATAGTTACTTTAGTATCGAATGGTGAAGGTTACCATAATTACCATCACGTATTCCCATGTGATTATAGAGCGGCTGAATACGGCTGTTGGTTGAATACATCAAAATTTCTTATAGACATATTAGCTAAATTCGGTTTGGTTTATGATTTAAAAATGGCGTCTGATAGTGTTATAAAACGTAGAATAGAACGTACTGGAGATGGGAATGTCTTTTAGATGTTTAATGAATCTATTTATTTAAAGTTATATTTTGTGTATGTTAAGCGTTACCGTTACAAAGCTATATTTACGAAAAATCTTTAAAATAAGCAAATATGAACTTTTATTTTTAAGCAATGATTTTAATTTACTATATTTATATTATTTAACAATTTAATAATAAATTAATTTTATTTAACACTGACTATTTATTTCCTAAACGCTTCTTAGCGTCCCTTCCTCGATCAAATCAAGTTTCCCTACCCATCCTTAGTTTATAAGAAAAGGGTAGGATTGGATGACTAAAATTAGGCCTACAGCAACTAATTAGTCAACAATTATAGTCAGAAGTATACAGATGGATATGTGGATACAAATTTTATAAACCGAAGATGTATACAAGCTTTGTATATGTATACATTAATGCAGCTGACTGTACTTCCTAAGCTCTATTTATAGATAGGTCATTTTTTAATATTATCAGATTTCTGCGAAGTGTAAAATGACTTACCAGTATCATGGTTGTCAGCATCAGTACGTTCAGGTGCTGCATCAGCACCACAAGCCAGCAGCAGCCGGCACGCGGCCGCAGAGTCTTGCCGCGCCGCCACACACAGCGCGCTCTCGCCGCGAGAATCACATGCGTTTACCTTCGCACCTATATACAATTATATAATTTTACTTCTTATCATTACTAGCTGTTGTCCGTGACTCCGTTCAAGCAAAATTAAAAACATAATTAGTTGCCTACGTGTTCTTCCAGACTATGTTCTATATGTGTGCCAAAATTCATCGAGATGCAGCCGTTCTGGAGATATCTTCTAACATACATCTAAACATTCGTATTTATATTAGTAAGATGAACGTTTGTTAGAAGGTATCTCCAGTATGTTTGCATCTCGATGAATTTTGGCACACATATAGAACATAGTCTGGAAGAGCACAAAGGCTACTTGGGACTATTTACGCGTGAACGAATATGCGGATGACAGCTGCTCTTTAATAAAATAGAGATAACAATATAACTCAATACGAGATTTCGTTCTCAGAAACCCACTATTAATTACACATTAAAGGCACAAGTAATATTACTTACCATGTCGAAGTAATAAATCCATAGCATCAAGATGTGCGTGTTCAGCCGCAATATGTAAAGGAGTCTGTCCCTCTTTGTTCTTCTCATTTACTCTTCCACCTTTCCTGATGAGAATCTCCATCACCTATAGAAACAGAGAGCTTAGAAACCTGCAATTATTGTTTATCGATAGATGGCGCTGTTATTAATTCATTTGTTTCTTACAACTGCCGCTGTATGCGTCACTGTCGCTTTTCTTATTATAAAGCGGCAAATGCTGAAATAGCGAGGACTTTGTTTATAGACATACGCAATAGCATATGCGTTGTCTACCTTTAATCGACGGAGGAGACGCACAGAAAACATTTTTCCTTTCCATTATCAGGAAAATCCACTTCCACTTCCCATCCTTTCCTTATAAGAAAAAGGGTGGGAAGGGAAAGAATACTAAAATTAGGCCTCCGGGACGCACTTATCAGTGTAGTTGTAATGAGTTGTCACTTGAGGCGTGTCTTCTGTGTGCTCGTAGCACTGAGATGTTGTTGCTAGCGTTTACCACGGTTAAAAAGCTTTTACAAAACACTTGTTTTCTAATATTTTCTATGATTATTATTAACAATATCTGCAATGTTTTTTCGCGATAATTACTTAAGCTGGCGCATCGACCCAAAGTGGTTCTTGGCCTCCGACACAAGAGATCTTCATCTCTTTTGTCGGTTTCGTAACAATTTTACTTAAATTTACTTTGTTACCTCCTGAATGGTAAACGACTGAACAGATTTTTACGAGTGAGATGTTATTAGTCACGTATTTTTCTCCTAAGTGTTTTTTTTAATTGTATAAGTATCATTTGTATATGTATACATATTTGTAGCTGACTGTACAACACATAGTGTTTACCTGTTTCCTTTTAGGATAGACACTGGCTGCAGCACAATGAAGTGGCCGATCTCCAGTACTTAGGTGTGCGAAGTTGACCAACGCCTCTGTATCCTCCCCACCACCTCCACCCCCGCCCCGAGACTGCACACAACCCTCGCGAGACACGCATTGCTGCACATAGAGATAACATTACTGGTCATCGGCTCATACATCCCCACTGAGGGTCTCGTTACCCTAAGTGATGTGACTAGGTGATAGTGAATGCTGGTCCAGTGCATCACTTCACACATATCTTTGACATTCACATATATGTGCAGCATCAACATGTTTTCCTTCACACTAACAACATACGATAAATGTACATATGTAAAATACATTGGTAAGAGCGTCGGTGGCTCAGTGGTCAAGCACTTGACTTGCAATCTGCAGGTCCTGGGTTCGAATTCCATTATGTACCAATGTGTTTTTAATTTCTAATTGACATATGTACATTTATCATATGTTCTTACGGTGAAGGAAAACATCGTGATGCTGCACATATCTGAGAAGAAATTCAAAGATATGTGTGAAGTCAACCCGCACTTGGTCAGCATTGACTATGATCTAATCACATAACTTAGGGTAGGCTCCGAGTCCCTCAGTGGGGACGTATAGTGAGCTGATGATGAAAAATACATTGGTACATGGCGGGATTCGAACCCAATACCTACTGACAAGTACTAACTCCTTAACTTATATGAAATCATGTCATAATTTTAAATATCTTTGTGAGAAAGAGATAAATAATTCAAATGTACTATCAGGGCATTTGTCGGTGTTACACTTTAGAAGAGATACTCGATTAAACATTTTTAAATGTGTCAAATTATCTGGCAGGTTTTATTCACTCATTTAAGATGCGAACAAGATTTTATAAACCTTAATATTTGTTTTATTTTTAAAATCGACTTATTCCGAACCCTATTTGGGAGTGAAATTAAAATTGTCTATGTATATCTTACTTCTTACTAATATCATAAATGCGAATGTTTAGATGTATGTTTGTTTGAAGATATCTAAAGAAAGACTGCATGAAACTCGCTGAAATTTTACATAGATATAGAACATCGTCTAGAAGAATACATAGGCTTCTAAAAAAATATTTTTTAATTCCTAGCAGACGGAGTCGCGGGCGACAACTAGTTTTATAATAAGTTAGCTATGGCCCGCGACTCCGTCCGTCCGATATATAAAAAAACTTGATTAGTGTAGCCTATGTGTTCGTTCAGACTATGTTCTATATGTATGCCAAATTTAATCGAGATCAGTTCAGCCGTTCTAGATATATCTTCAAACACCCATCCATCCAGATCACATCCATCTAAACATTTGCATTTATAATATTAGTTAGTTAAATAAAAAGCAACTCTTCAAGGAATAAATTCGAAAAAAAAATGAATAAATAGTATCCTATGTCCGTCTCCTGGCTCTAAGCTACCTCCTCAACAATTTTCAGACATATCGGTAAAGCCGTTCTTGTGTTATAAATAGTGTAACTAACACCACTTTCTTTTATATATATAGATTAAAAATATTATATGTACCATTTAACGTAATATTTAGTAATAACAAAGTATAAATACCTGTGTTTGTGAGGATGCAGTTAACTGTTTCTTGACTCTTGCCGGCTCCGCAAGACGACACGCTTCTAATAGACAATGTCCGCGGTATTCAACTGAAAAAAAATACATAAATCATCGTAGTGTAGAAAGATAAGGTGGCAAACGAGCGAGCGGCCACCTGAAATCGCTGAAATAGCGAAGTGACCGTTGCCCATAGACATACGCAATTGCATATGTGTTGCCTACCTTTAATCGACAGAGGAAAGGATGCACAGAAAGAAAATATCTTCTAGTAGTAAAGTCATACGTAATTTTCTCTAAACTAGTTCATAGTAGTAGATTTTTTTTTTAATTAGTTGTTGATCACACTGGACACCATCGAATTAAGGATTAAACACAGACACTCCAATTTTATTTATGTTTAGATATAGAAATGTATTACTCACAAGCCAATCTCTCCTGCAATTCTCTAGTTGGGGCGACGTCCAAAGCGGACTTGCCGTGGCAATTTAGCAGAGTGGGGTCCGCACCCTCACTCAACAGTAATGAACATACCTGAATACGTTAATATATCTTACTAATATTATAAATGCGAATGCTTAGGTATATGTTAGAAGGTATCTCCAGAACGGCTGCATAGATCTCGATGAAATTTGTCATAGATGTAGAACATAGTCTGGAAGAACACATAGGCTACTTACTAAGTTCTCCGCCGATAGGTAGTAATATTATAAATACGAATGTTTAGATGTATGGATGTTGGATATCTCAAAAGCAGTTCGTTGGATCTTGATGAAATTTGGCACAGACGTAGAACATAGTCTGGAAGTTTTTTTAAAAATTCCCGTAGACGGAGTCGCGGGAGACAACTAGTTATTATCACCAAAAGAAGTTTTACAAACAACGGGTTTTTTTTAAAAAAAGCCACCCCCCCTATATATAGTAGAGCATAATCTGGAAGAACACATAGACTACTAAATAAGTTTTTAATTCAGACGTAGTCTAGAATGTACTCACCTCTAGCCTAGCTTTACTTGCAGCTTCATGTAATGGCGTAAAGGCCCATAAATCAGTCGCATTGACATCAGCACCAGCACGAACGAGGAGTTCTGTCACCTCATAGTGACCGTATGAACACGCGTTGTGTAGTGGTACCAGACCCCTGGAATTAATTTATTACATCAAAAACCTTTACAGCACCAATAGCCTAATGGTTATGGGTACGGATTTCCGATCATGTGGTCGAGAGTTCGACTATTGTAAACCATATCCTAGCACAAGCCTAGAGCTTAGTTGGAATTGTACTAGAAATATTAGTGTTTAGATGGATGATTGTTTGTGATATCTGCAGAACGGCACAACGGATTTTGTTGAAATTTGGCACACATTTAGAACATAATCTGGAAGAACACATAGGCTACTTATTAATTTTTACTTTAACTAAAGTAAGATTAATTTTCTAGCATTTTTTATGTTTATAAAATCCATTACCACTATTAAATTATTCAAACTTTTTTTTTATATAACAGAAGGGGGCAAACGGGAACACCGAGGTGTTCAACGACGTCCATGGACATCAATACCAAAAGAACCGCAGATGCGTTGCCGGCCTTTGAGGTGGTGATAGACTCGCTTCTTGAAGGACCCTAAGACTATACTACTACCTACTTTCGTGAGACATTATACTAAATTGATATATAAACACGCAGTGAACTGAGGGCCGCGTCCGCGAAATAATACCAGCACCACTCATCCTGATGAAGGGCCCCCGATGGGCTCGAAACTAGTCGGTGCCGACACCGGACGAATATACGTTAGTGTTTAGCCGTGTTTATATATCAATCCATTACCACTAAGTATGATGTTACAATATTTCAAAGCTAAGACAGTGTTTCCTTTAGGAGTGCTAGAATATTTTTCATGAACTTTCGCATTCATCATCATCATCAGCTCTTACGTCCCCACTGAGGGTCTCGTTACCCTAAGTTATATGACTAGGTGATAGTGAATGCTGGTCCAGTGCGTTACACATATCTTTGACATTCAAAGATATGTGCAGCATCACGATATTTTCCTTCACACTAACAACATAGGATAAATACATATGTAAAACATATTGCTATTGATTCGAACCCAGGAGCTGCAGTCAAGTTAAGAACTTGCCCCCTATATTTATTATTTTAACTTACCCTTTATCTTTAGCATGAACATCAGCCCCTCTTTGCAGTAATAACCTAACAGCACGGGCGCGGTTGTACCCTGCAGCGAGATGCAGTGGTGTGGATCGCCGGCCATCACCAGCGTGTACATTAACATTTAGAGGTGTCAATAACGCCGCGAGACGGTCGTCAGCACCCGCACGAGCGGCTTCTAGTACATCCGCAGCGCAATACTCACCTAAAAGTTACGTTACTAAAGAATCATAAAAGTTACTATTGTTATAATACTATGGATCAATGTTAGAATGTATCTCCAGAACAGTTGCATTAATCTCGCTGTAATTATTCATAGTAGAGTAAAATACACATTATATTGGCATTATACATAGGCTTATAATAAGTTATTGCTTTGATTCCCCGAGGAGTGGAGTAAGACAGTAAGTTATTAAAGTAACTGAAAGATGATAAAAGTTACTAATATGTAGACAGAGATGATAAATGGATACATATTAACAGGTATCTCTAGAACGGCTGCATAGATTTCGCTGAAATTAGACATTTATGTAGAACATAGCCGGGAAGAACTCATAAGGCTACTAATTAAGTTTTTTTTTAATTCCATGCGGACGGAGTCGCGGGCTAGTGAATCACAAAAGTTACTAATCTTACTAATATTATAATTGTGAACGTTTTGATATCTGGATGTTTATTAAATCTCCTAAAAAGATGCAAGTATCCCGCTTAACAGTTAGTAAAAAATAAAATTTACTAAAGGATCATGAAAGTTACTATTGGATCATAAAAGTTACTAACTGCTGCCCAGCTTCCTGACCATTCATATCAGCCGTTAAATCTCAATCCACTATCATATTCCCTCTACCATACACTACATACAAACTTTATTTGGTCTTCTTTTAAAATTACTAATTGATATATCGTTAAATCTATACTAAGGAACTGCCTTAGCAACCATCTTACCTGTAAGTACTGGTCTTGTAGCGGCATCAGCAAGATCTAACGGGGTCTTTCCCTCTGTATTCCGTATGTTTGGATCAGCTCCATGTTGAAGGAGCGCTGGAAATGTTATTAAGAATTGCTTAACTGTCTTATTTACATATGATATTTATATACTAAAGATACAATTACCCACCCCCAATGTAGATTTCAGATTTTTTTATTTTTAATACCAGTAATTTTATTATACTATAGATATGAGGTGCAAAATCTGCTGTTGGGTTTAAACAATTTGATAATTATGAATATCACTGACAATGGGTTTCTCTCTTAACTTAATTTTTCTTAGTAGAACAAAGTTTCTGTACTTTTAGACATTATTAGTAAGAATCCTTTAGAATCAATTCCGCGTTTCGTCTGATGAGTGTGCGTCCCGGAGGCATAATTTACTCCTCTTTCCCTTCCCACCCTTTTTCTTATAAGGAAAGGATGGGAAGCGGAAGTAGACTTTCCGGATGAGAGGATGCATAGGAAGGGAAAATATTTTTTTTCGGTGCATCCTCTCCTCTGTCGATTAAATGTAGGCAACGCATATGCAATTGCGTATGTCTATGGGCAACGGTCACTTCGCTATTTCAGCGATTTCAGATGGTCGCTCGCTCGTTTGTCACTTCATTATATAAAAAAATAGCATTAAATATCACTTACCTATACAAACATCCACTTTTCCTTTAGCAGCCGCCTCATGCAATGGGGTATAGCCCCAGTTATCCCTTGCCGCTGGGGGCGCTCCAGCCGTCAGCAGAGCTCTGACAACATCCGCATGTCCAAAGGAACAGGCATTATGTAACGGTTGCAATCCACCTTCATCTCTAGCCTGTAGTGCTGCTCCACCTGCGATTAATAGTTCCACTACTTCCCTGCGTCCGTAACCTGGAAGGTTAAACACTAAGACTTTATTTATGTAAAACATTTGCTTATCTTACCGCATTTGACTTGACACAAAGGCCTTTTTTGCTATCATAGATATTTTCATTTGATTTTTTCAATGTATTTTGCTATTGATTTGTGTCATTAAAAACATGTCTCAGGATGTAAAATTGATTGAATATTACATCATACAGAGCTATTAGAATTAGCCACGGCATGACTGTGTTGAAGACGATATGCATAGGAAGTGGGCAGATATGGATATGATGATAGTGATGTATGGAGGATAAGTACACACTGTGCCGACCCTCAATAGGGATAAGGGCAGGTTGATGATGAAGTCAATTATTAAATTATAGTATTGTTGTTTTTACGATTTCATTACAAATTTAGGACATTCTAACACAGGAATTGGCAAAATTTTGATATGAGTTGTTTAGTTATTCACATATTTCTGCATAATAAGGAATTTCATCAAAAAATAACATGATATAAAATTGCAAAATTGCCTATTATATACCTCTGGTTACCTTTCTTATAAAAGCCATCATTTATGTGACATAACAGTTGGATAAAAAACAAGAAAAAAACAATAATGTCTATGAGAAATATCTACCATACACAATAGATATGTTTAGGCTAAAATTGTTGAAGTTTAAAAACTTAAAATATTAAATCCATTGTTTACAACAACCTTCAATTACTTTAAAAAGTGAAATCAACCTTGTACTAATATTTCTTATCATCACTTATAGCACCTTTTTGTTAATTTGTAACCACTCCTACATTGTTTTGTAACTTGAATACTGCGAAGTATCGTTGTAGCATTTGTTGTGCTATATTTGGCTCGTTCACGTACCGACACATGTTGCCGGCTCAAAGGTCTGACATCGACTGCCATCCCCTCTCTCCGGCATGTACTTATGGCGTGTATGCTCAAGACAAACAACACTATGTTTATGCATACACTACAATCGTGACTGTACTTAGTACTCTTTGTAAATGATAAAATACAACTGTATTTTATTTACTATCCTATTGGTTTGACTAAATCTGGATGCGAGAGTTCACTGGACCTGTCTTTTGGCACTGAACAATGACTCTAGCTTATAAAGTTTTCTTAGTTAACCAGTTCTTGCTTATCCATATTAAATTGTATGTGCCAAAAGAATGTTAGCAATTAATCAAGTTATATGCTTAATAGTGTTGAATCTATGTTTAATCAGCGACTATAAGAATAATAATCATTTAATTCTATGTTTTGCAGCAGTAAAAACCGACAGTTGCATTATTTAATAAAAAGAATTGTGTTGACAGTCAGTCAACAATGAATAAAATATTACTAGTAATAAAATTGAACAAGATCATCTAACAGTAAGTAAAAACAGATAAATCGAACCAATCGTATTCACACACCGTGACCAATTATGCAATTCTCAAAAAAGTTATTAACACCTTTCACTTTTTCATTATTTTCACAATTATACATTGACATAAACAATGATTATATATTTTTAAATTAATAACAATACCTGCAGCGAAGTGTAGCGGCGTTGATTTACGACCAGCTGTGTCTCTAGCGTTCACAGTTTGTGGTGTAATCAACTTTTTAACTCGACCTGCGTCCCCTGTCTTGCAAGCTTCGAACAACTCCCGTAGTGGGTCCGTCGGTGCTGGTAAAGCATCCAAAGCCGAACCGAGCAACGAACGCCGGCTGGACATGTTTCGTTTATCACATCTATGATTATTGTAAACACCGTATCACGCTACCATTTTTGATAAAATAACAATCGAATGAAAACACGTACGATACAAGTACAGCTGCTTTCAAGATACTTTTGACAATTGAATTAAAATGTTACCACTTATTTTTGTTTAACAAAAACCATAGACAAAACTAGACTTTGTAATTTAAAATGGTTAACATCCTAGGGATAGTTGCCAAATTGTTTAGTTCTCTAAACTGAAACCATGTTTTATTTAAATAATTAAAGCATTATATTTAAATAATAATAAACATTATCTTCACACCTTCATTATATTAGTTTGAAATTAAAATAACTTTCCACGGTGTAAAGCATTTGAAATATAGTTATTTTCCCGTTAATTTATGTCTCCTTCTCACTTTAGGTGAAACAGAAATTAAATTAAATTCAAAATACAGATTTAACTTATTTCTAACTAGGTAAACAAAAATACTCTGCATTGTCTTTAGCCGTTAGTTGACGAAATCAAAATGGCGTCTTTCATGGGATAGTGCATATATCCGCCGCACATATTCGAGACTTGGAATAATAATCGTGATAACGACATTATATCAGTGATATAAACTGTTTGTGGACTTTTACTTAGTGTTAAAGTGTTTATATTTGTTCAAGAAAGTTATTAAAGTGACATCGTCGCTGAACACAAGTTTCCGCTAAGGTATGTGTCCTTTCACCCATCAAATATTCGAGACAGATAATTGGTAACTTTATAAAAATTGTCATCGATATGCCTAAGCTCCAAATACTTGTTATATTTTCTAAATATCCCAATGAATCCGGCACTATCCGGAAATAGTTCTTTAGATCAGTAGGTGAATCGTTATAACAGGTTTTTTGTGGAGGACGCGACTAGGCGAGGCCGGATGAAATCTTCACTTTTCATATCGTTTCCTCATTCACGTTTCGGTGTCGTCAAGTTTGTATGCTTTGGTACAGACGTGTCGTATACCGCAAATATTTAATCGTCCGCCGACCGCACGGCTAATTGAATTAGAGACAGGCGCGGCTCGGGTTCGCAATTTCTCCATTCCGTATGATGTTTGTATGAGTTTTCACTTTTGGATCGCAGTATGTGCTTTGAATGTTGATACTGGCCAGTAGACTCCAATACGTTTGAAAAAGGCAATTTTGTTTATGCCTTAAACGTTGGCAGAATTACGTTGCCTTATTCTTAAAAGTTTTATAAAGGTTGATTACGGAATGAGCGCGCTAAAAATTATAAGTAATTATCGTTTTATAAGTACTTATTATTCAATTAACGATATGCCCTGTTTTGTCGCATTCCATACAGACTTATTTAGAAATTATTTGTTAGTTAAGATCCATGTACAAGTTTTTATAACTATGACAATTTTGTTTGTTCAAATGAAATGTTAAAATTTTAATTGTTTCCTTATTGGCTACATTTATCCTGTAATATATTTTTATGAATAAATGACAATATTATTAATTAAAACAGTGAAAAATTAAAAAAAAATAAAGATTCTAAAATTTTGCATATTTAACCATGTGTTTTGAGTGCAAAATTTCCTGCACAAACAAATATTTCCATCCTTTCCTTGTTTTTGAATAAAAAAGTTGTGTCATAGATATAAGATAGGTTGAGTAATTCATACAAATTTGATGTCTAATTGAGAATCAAATTACAAAATGTCTATTGTATTGAAAATGCCATAATTAAGGAAATATACCCCTATAAAAGATTTGAAAGATCTGAAATTTATAGCCTCACTTTGGTCCTCTGGATTAGGTATCTAAAAGATATGTCTACAGTTTTTGAACTGATATTTTGGCAGCTGAACACAGATATAGTATAAGTTAATATAAGTTCTTAATTCAAAACTAACTGCCGCACACAACTCTGTCTGTGCAGAATTAAAAAAAACTTTAATAGTAGCCTATGTGTTCTTCCAGACTTCACTTTACATCTATGCCAAACTTCATCTAGATCATCCATTCACATCCAGTTAAACAGTCACTTTTATAATAATAAACTAACCCCTATGAATACACTTTTCCCTTTGCCATATCCATCCTTGTGGCAAAGGGAAATCAGATTTCGAGAGACATCGGACAGGGCTTAATATATATTCAAGTGTTAGTTCATCTATAGTCAAATTTTAACAGTTATAAAAACAAAAACTAGATGATGAATTTCAACAAATATAAATATAATAATTTGTGGAATATTATTAAATAGATTTTGCTTTTTTTGCAAGTGGTACATATATGTGAGAATAGTAAATTTTAGTATTTTTAATTAACATATTTGATGAATAATAAAATGAAATTGACATTTAGATGACAAGAATTTGTTATTTGCATTCAAGTATATAATAATGTTTAGATTTTAAAAGTTCACAATTTTTTTTTAATTAAACAATTTAGTGCACTGGATGCGGGCAGCACAGGACTGGACATTGTGGCAATCGATGGGGGAGACAAATTTAAGCTGATGATGATGAAACAATTTATACATTTATGATGTAAATGGTTTTCTTAATGACTTTGTGAGAATCAACAAAATATACATAAAATTATAGTACATTTTCTGTTTTAAAGAATTATATGTAGGATAATACATTTTAATTCACTTATGGTAGTGGAAACATACTTTAAAATCATCAACCTGCCCTTATACCCCAATACATCTCTATCAGCTATTATATCAGAATCCACCACCTTCTTACACATCCTCTTTCACACAAAACATACTTTCTTTAGTCGTTTACCTTTGTAGACATCTACACTGTTTATATGATCATCATCCCTTCGCATAACATGTCCAAACCACTCTAACCTTTCGCTCTTCAAATTTCTCGATCTTGAAGCTATATTCAAACTTCCCTAATATACAGTTTGATATTAATCAAATACATGTCATAGATATGACAGTGTTACATTTTTTACTGTTGTCAACAATGTGATAAGAGATTTTATAGATAACTGACTGAGACTTGAGATTATGTGAATCTTACTAATATTATAAATACATATGTTTGGATGGATAAATGTTTGTATGAAGATATCTCCAGAACGGCTTAAAGGATCTCGAGAATATGGCATAGATGTAGAACATAGTCTGGAAGAACACACAAGAGTTGCATGTGATAACTACTGTATTATAAAGTTCCTATCACCCGTGATTCTGAGCATGGGGAATTTAAAATAAAACTTAATAAGTAGCCTATGTGTTCATCAAGATCTGTTGAGTATCCTAACCTAACAGTTATCTATATATTTAAACATTTGCATTTATAATATTAGTAAGATAAATTAATTCAAGTTCAATAATTATGTTTATGGTTAGTATAGATAGATAGATAACGCTTTTAATATAAGTGCCAATACTCATCTGTTCTAGACTGTAAAGTAATAGATGCATCTAATATTAGGTGGTCATAAAAATTCTTACGACTCGCAATTTTCCACAGTCGTTTAGGTAGAATTATCTCATCTGTTCAATTTTTATGTTTAATATTAAGCTAGTTATTTGTGATAGCGTCAATCTTACTAATATTGTAAATGTGAATGTTTAGATGGATGTATGTTAGAGAGTATCTCCAGAATGGATGCATGGATTTAGCTGAAATTTGGCCTATACATAGAATATAGGTCCTTCAAGAAGCGAGCCTATCACCACCTCAAAGGTTGGCAATGCATCTGCGGTTCCTCTGGTATTGCTGATGTCCATGGTCGTAGTTGAACACCTCGGTGTTCTCGCTGCTTGTTTGCCCCCTTCTGTTATAATATATATATATACATATATATATATATATATATATATATATATATATATATATATATATATATATAGTCTGAAGAACACATAGGCCACTAAGATTTTTTTTTAATTCCAAGCGAACGGAGTTGCAAAGGAAAGTTAGTACATGTATGAAACTTGGCTATTTTAATGAGTCATATTGTTTTTAGTATGTAATAATGTATTATAATATTTAATACGATTAACGTAAATAAACATGCCTTTGTTTTTTTTAGTTTAATCTTGTTAAAACTACTTTAGTTTTAATAGCAAAATCTGGATTTTTTAAATTGTGTCTTTTGGAAATTATATTTAAGTACGACTATTACTATTAAAATGATGAAATATGAATAATATTTTTCTATCTTACCGATAGAAAAAGTTAAGTTTATGTTTAAGTTGATTATCTATAAAACACGAATAAAATGACATTTTCTAAAAATGATTCCTAGCTAGATCGATTTATCGCCCCCGAAACTCCCTATATACTAAATTTTATGAAAAATAAAAATTAACTAAGTTGGAGCCGATTCCGAGATTTCAATTATATATATACAAGAATTGCTCATTTAAAGATATAAAAGATAGTGAGATTTTGACCACGTGACGTTTGTTTATAAAATTTAGATTTTTCATTTGGAACAACGTAGATGCGACAAATATTCTAGGTTAGTCGAACATATTACGTTCTCAATAGTAAAGTTATCACCAAAACACCTATTATCAAAGCATATCAGATACCGCTCGATATAATAGTGTACAAACTTTATGGTTGCTCGTAGGAGACGACGTTTAGGACACAATTTGGCAAAGACATGCTCGCAGCTAACCACGAGCGGTTATAAAGTTTGTATCTTATAATACATTCATATCGCAATATTACGTTCGGAATGCCACCGTTGTGTTGTTAATAAATCCATCTCCGGCATTCCATTTGTACAAACGTGTATAAAGTATCACATGTTGTCAACTAACGGCCCGCTTATATAAATAATAATCAAATATTATATTTGTTTTTTTTATGTGTTTGATAATTGATGATTGTGATGCATTATAAGGGTGTTCTGATTAAAAAAATAATACATTTTCTTTGGTTATGGTGATTGTTGAAAATGCACATGGATAAAGTCTTATTAAGAGACTAGCTGTCCGTAACTCCGTCCGAGCGGAATTAAAAAAAAAACTTAGTAGCCTATGTGTTCTTCCAGACTATGTTCTATAACTTGCCAAGTTTTTTTAATATCATAAGGTAGCAAACGAGCGAGCGACCACCTGCAATCGCTGAAATAGCGAAGTGATCGTTGAAGTTCGCCAAATTCTATCGTGATCGAAAGATCGTTGGTCTATCGCGGACGAAAGCGAAAGCGTGCCCGTGATCCCGTCCCGATGCGTTGGAGGAACAAAGAGGTTTAGTGGGTATATCTCCGTTATGAAGGAGAATCCCACATAACTATCGCGTTCCCCCCGGGGCGCGGTGTATGCATAAAGCATTCCTCTCTAGAAAAAAAACATAGTTAGTCTAACAAACATCCATTTATCCAAACATTCGCATTTATATATATATCTATATACAATATGTTTTTGAGCACTGAAAACTCATATTAAACATGTGTGAATGTGAGAAGTACTGGCAAACAGTAACGCACTTGTCATGCTGTGATCTATTTTGTCCTTAATTGACCATAACTAGGTAAACAAAGCATGTACTAGTCGACTGGTAAGGAAATATCGCCATATTTTTCTTTTATAACGTGACTAAAGGCTTACTAGATGTGGCCAGTTTTATTTGACCTTTAATAAATGTACTTTGGGCCTAGTATCGTATGGTTATTGACAAAATATGTACAGCGCCCCCTGTCGGGTGTAATGTAAAACAAAAAATCCCATTAATTTTG